TCCCGAGACTGCTGAGTTTCACGCCGGTTTCCCAGCTGCGTCCGTATGCCCGTTGTCCGCCACTGGGCTTGCCGCTCGTTCCGCCCGCTCGCGACGAGTATGCCTTGAGATGCGAAAACCACGACCCGAATAAGGATTTCATGGCGGGGATGGAGAGGGCGATCAGGGTGCCGCCGACTTCGGAGGTTTCGATGGCCAGCATGGGGTCGTAGGCCCAACTGCCGTCGGAGGACCACTGGCCGACGATGACCAGCCACAGGCGAACGCAGGAAATGACCAGAACCCTAGCAGAGGGTCGTACATTATTAGTAAAAGAGATAAGAGAAAACACACAGAAGAATATGTGGACTCACAAAACACCGGGAAACATGATCAAAGACAGCTGCAGTTTGCGCTTCGGCGACACTTGCAGCATGTAGATTAACATGGAGGGCAGGGCCAACATCATGATGTCGCAGACCAGGGACAGGGCTGAATTGGTGACATAGACATCTCCCCACGTGATGCAGTTGTAATCGTCGATCTGCGGCTGCCAGGCGTAGGGCCAGAGTCCCGTGACGGGCAGGCAGTGGAACAACAGGAGGAAGAACTGGGCGAGAAATGCGGCCAGCAAGAACCCGGCGGAGAGCTTAATGGCCAAGGAGATCTTTGGGTGTCGCGAGGCTAGACGCTGGTAAAATGCCAGACCGGACAGGCGACAGACGAACAAGGCGGTGGTGTAGAGGATGTGCATGACAAAGTCGTAGCGTTCGGTCTCGTTGACGCGAGGCAGCGTGAGGACATATTGAATGTATTCAATATGTCGACCACTGCCCATGTCGATCAGAATGATGCATAGGGCGACAATGGGGATGTAGATGGCCTATGCGGTGCCGAGTCAGCCCGTCTATCTACTATGGATGCCGGGGGTAATTAGGGCATAGGGGCAGATATTAACATACCAGAGTGAAGACGGCCAAAGCATCGTCCCAGCCGAACTTCTTGACGAGGAAGAGACGAGCGTAGCAACGGGCGACGACGATCACAAAGGTCAGAGCGGCGACGAAGAGAATGGCGATCTTGGTGGGCCGATCGCGCGACTGGGCCAGATAGTCGGCGGTGATACCATCCGGGATGCGACCCTCCGCCTCAGCAGTTTGGATGTCGGCGGGGATCTCATGCATGGTAGTGATGGCTCATCCGGGGCAGCAGATGGGAGAGAGACGACCGACAATAAGGTCTCTCAACCTGGACAGGAAAAGGGGGGAACATGGGGGGAAGTGATTGATAATTATGGGGGAAGTTGGTGTTCCATATTAAAAATTTTGTGTGGGCATGACGACAAGACCAAGAAACTACTTGCAACCTATAACAATCGAATTCATTCTTTTTCCGAATTAGACTTTGGAGACGAGAGAGAGAGAGAGAGAGAGAGAGAGAAAGTATTGGCAGGGCGGAATTGGATCGGATCATCGGTACCGATCAAAGGCCGTTGCGAGATCTCGATGATTTAGGTACAACTACTATACTACTCTTAGTATTTCCAGCTGTTTCCGGCCGGGGGATAAATTTAAGATGATTGGGCTGGTTCTAGGCCGAGGAAGCCTAACAAAGTCAATTGCTAACAATTGCTAAGGATATTGAAGAAAAAACGCACGTTACCTAATGGCAATCATATGATAATAAGAAATATAGCTCAGGGGGTTGAAGCTGAAAAATATTGACCGAACTACTACTCCTATCCAACTTTTCTGCAAGAAGAGGGACCCCGTGGGAAAAGCGATGCAGCACCCGCAGCAAAACAGCCTGTCAGCACTTTACTATAGGAAAATTAAGAGAAAAATGCATGCGTAACAGGGAAGGAGCAATATATCGGGAGCACCGGATGGGACAGGCCGGGCGGGTCGGTGCTCGCCTATCTGAAGATCCACCCTTGGCACTTGCTCGTCTGACACAGTCGCCTGTCTAGGCATGTCTTGCCCTGAAAAGCTTATTACTCTACTGAAATCAATTGACAATCAAATTTCGATCTCTCTCCTTCCTTGATTCTCAAATTTTTCTCGTGAACATTACCTAGGAATAGTAGGACAGTGTGTGTCTATTCAAAGTCACAGGTGTGTGTGTGTGTGTGTGTGTCAGAACTGTCACGGAAGGTTGTGGCGGCCGGTCCGTGTCCACCCACCCTCTTTTGCCGATGAACTTTCCCTTTTTGTTTTGCTGGTTGCTCCCCACACCATCCAGATTTTGACACCTTTACGCAACCAATTAAATCTACTATCTATGGCTAGGATCCAATCACCTCCTCCAGTCGGACTCTTTCTCCATCCCCCCAATTCAATAGTGGCATTCCAGTTGTACCTAGTAGTTTGCCCCCCCTGTCGGCACTAGATCAGAAACCGTCCCGTCCCTACAGTCAGTCCCTTGCATGATGCAGGTCGCCGTTGGTGCCTGTTCGCGCCAACCCTTTTAACCAACCACAACTCATCTTGCTTTGCTTTTTTTTCCCTCCCCTGTCTCATCTTCCCTACTGAATCTCTTTTTCCACGTGGCAGCGATCTGCAGGGAATTGAGAAAGAAACCGACGATCGGCCATGCCCTCCTTTGCCTCTTGGCTCCTCACCACCGGGTTGGCCGCTGTGGCCAACGCCATCACCCTCAACGACTCCCTCGTGGCCCAGCAGATTGATACCCAACCTTTCCCTTATGATTTCCCTAAGTTGGGTGTCAATGGCTCCGATCTCTTCCCCATGCGGGACTGCCATGGCTTCACCCTCGAGGAGGCCAGCATCGATGACATCCAGGCTCAGCTGAAGGCTGGTCGCTTCACCGGCTCCCAGCTGCTGCAGTGCTACCTCGAGCGCATCTACCAGGTCCAGCCCTACACCAAGTAAATAATCCCCCCCTATCCTTTTTTACAAAGATGTGTTTAGCTCATTCAGTGTGTCAGTGCCGTGCTGCAGTTCAACCCCGACGCTATGGCTATTGCCGAGGCGTTGGATGCCGAACGCAAGCAGGGTACCGTCCGCGGTCCCCTGCACGGTATTCCCTTCCTGGTCAAGGACAACATCGCCAGTAAGGACAAGATGGAGACCACCGCGGGTAGCTGGGCTCTCGTCGGCTCCGTTGTCCCTCGCGATTCTCACGTCGTGCATCGCCTGCGCGAGGCGGGTGCGGTCCTTCTGGGCAAGGCCACGCTCAGTGAGTGGGCCGACATGCGCTCCAATGACTACTCCGAGGGTTATTCGGGCCGTGGTGGCCAGTGCCGCAACCCCTACAACTTCACCGTCAACCCCGGTGGCAGTAGTTCCGGTTCCGGTGTGGCCGTCACCAGCAACCAGGTGCCCTTTGCTCTGGGTACCGAGACTGATGGTAGTGGTAAGTTTGGTAGATCGAAAAAAATCAAAGATGACATGCTAATATGGAGTACCAGTGATCAACCCGGCTGAGCGCTCGAACGTCGTCGGCATCAAGCCCACCGTCGGTCTGACCTCCCGCGCGGGTGTCATCCCCGAGTCTCTGCATCAGGACACGGTCGGCACCTTTGGCAAGACGGTGCGCGATGCGGCCTATGCTCTGGATGCCATCTACGGTATTGACCCCCGCGACAACGAGACCTATGCCCAGCAGGGAAAGACCCCGGCTGGCGGTTACGCCCAGTTCCTGACCAACCAGACGGCCCTCAAGGGCGCCGTGTTCGGTCTCCCCTGGTTGTCTTTCTGGCAGTACAACGACGCGGCCCAGAACGCCCAGTTGATGGAGCTGTTGGCTTTGATCGAGGCAGCGGGTGCCACCATCATCAACGGCACTGAGCTGCCGCACTACAAGGAGATTGTCGACCCGTCCGGCTGGAACTGGGACTACGGCACCACGCGCGGCTACCCCAACCAGTCCGAGTACTCGTACGTCAAGGTGGACTTCTACAACAACATCCGGGACTACCTGGCGGAGCTGAACAACACCAACATGCGGTCGCTGGAGGATATTGTGCAGTACAACATCGACAATGCCGGCAGTGAGGGTGGTGTTCCCGGTGTGAACCCGGCGTTTGCCTCGGGCCAAGACGGATTCTTGGCGTCGCTGGCCACCAAGGGCGAGATGAACGAGACCTACTGGCAGGCCCTGGAGTACTGCCACCGCACCAGTCGGGAGGAAGGTATTGATGCTGCTCTGCACTACCAGGGTCGTAACCTCACGGCGCTGCTGGTGCCTCCGGACTTTGCCCCCTCCATCGAGATTGCCGCGCAGGCGGGTTACCCAGTGGTGACGCTCCCCGCGGGCATCAACAAGGACTCGCACATGCCCTACGGACTGGCGCTGATGGGCACGGCCTACTCGGAGGCGACGTTGATCAAGTATGCCAGCGCGATCGAGGACGTGCAGCTGTCGTCCAACACGCCGTGGAAGCGCAGCCTGGCCACGTGGAGTGGCTATCTGGATCGGAACATTCCGGTGAACTAAACGATGTACTTTGTACTGTTTTTCCAAGTGATAGAAAGGGGAGGCAGGGAAACCTATCCGCTGCATCTTCCCGCATAATTAATGGTTAATGGGAAAAATAGAATTGGACCTCATGGTGACTCGTGCTATCTAGTCGTGAGTAATCAATAATAATGGTTCGTAGGAGGCAATTTAACTTTTGGTACCCGTGGGTAATGGGAGAATAATGTCGTGTTCCACGACGGCATCGGAAGATTACCTTGGCGTGCCAAGAGTAGTGGCCAGCTCTGGGCCGTGACACCGTGCCAGTCACCGTGCGGGCAGTGGTTGCTGGGATGGTGTTTCTGGAAATCCGGCTGGGGGAAGATTCTGCGAATGAAGCCTCAGCAACATCCCCACGTGGGCCCGCTGTGTGCACTGATAGGATTAGTGGAGACGTGCCCGTTCCGCCCAGCCTGCCAAGACACGCCTCTTCGGGTCCGCCCAGACTTCACTGCGAGTATATCTAGGAGTCTACCAATATACTTCCATCATATCTGCTTGAACGATAGAAGGCAGTACGGATGCCAAGCCACCGCCCAGCCATGCCCAGCAGGGCCATCCTATGCGACTGGTGGCGGTAATCTTGTAACACTCTGGTAGTGGTATCCCGAAAGTCAGTTTCTTGCTGGTAGTACCTGATCCTGCTCCAGTGGCTTTGCTGTGAAAGCTACAGCTCTGCGCGAATTTTCCGAGTCTGGCCCTGTCATACCCTCTGTATTCCGTGTATTCCCCGACACCCTGGACAGTCCCGTCGAGGTCAGCTTTCCGCCCTGATTCTTCGAATCATCGGCCTCCAAGCAGGAACGTGTCCGACCTCAGCTCCCTGACATGGAGGAGGACTACTTTGCCTCCATCCTCCACCCGTAAACTCTCCAAGGGCACGTGGCCCTCAGTAGAGTGAATGTCCTGCCTGGTCTGATGGCCTCCGCTGGTCACATAAAGTGAGCTGGACCGCAGGGAAAGGGTCATGAGGCTGTCCGTCAGATTCCTTCTCTCCATCCTTCCCTCCATCTCTCTCCTCCTCATTCTCCCTACTCCTTTGGCAGGACTCGCAGCCAAAGACAAGACAAGTCATCATGGCGGTCCTCCACGAGTACGACTATGTCTTCGCCATTGGCACCTTGTTTGCCATGCTGGATGCCTACAACAACGGTGCAAGTGAGTGGTGACACCAAAGTCATGTGCTTACCCGGATTGGATGAACCTTGACTAACATGACTTCTGTGTTTGAATCCAGACGATGTGGCCAACTCCTGGGCAACCAGTGTCTCCTCCCGTTCCGTCTCCTATCGCCAGGCCATGGTCTTCGGCACCGTCTTCGAGATGCTGGGCGCCATCTGTGTCGGAGCTCGTACTGCTGATACCATCAAGAACGGCATCATTCCCAACTCCGCCTTCCAGGGGAATGCGGGCGTGCAGATGCTAGCCTTCACCTGTGCCTTGGCTGCCGCATCCACTTGGGTGATGTGGTGTACGCGCCACTCGGCCCATGTCTCCTCGACTTACTCCCTGATCTCTGCCGTCGCCGGCGTGGGTGTGGCTACCGTGGGTGCCTCTCAGGTGCAGTGGGGTTGGAATGATGGCAAGGGCTTAGGTGCCATCTTCGCCGGGCTGGGAATGGCCCCCGTCATCTCGGGAGGTTTTGCGGCTATCATCTTCATGCTCATCAAGTTGGTCGTGCTCATCCGCAAGAACCCAATCCCCTGGGCTGTTTACAGTTCCCCCTTCTTCTTCCTAATCGCCGCTACGATTTGTACCCTGTCCATCGTCTACAAGGGTTCTCCCAGTCTGGGTCTGTCCAAGAAGCCTAGTTGGTACATTGCGGCGGTCACCATGGGCACCGGTGGTGGCGTCATGCTTCTCTCTGCCCTCTTCTTCGTCCCTTTCGTGTACGCCCGCGTCATCAGAAAGGATCACAGTGTGAAATGGTGGATGTTCATCATGGGTCCCATGCTGCTGACCCGCCCCGTTGTCACTCATGGCGAACAGGCCAAGGTTCCGGACTACGCCGTCGTGCAGGGAAGTTCCGAAGACCTCACGCTAGGCTCCCCGGATACTCTCCGCGGCGATGATGTCAAGCGGTCCACCCAGGCTGGCGTCGAGTCAATCCAGTCCCGCAGTGAAGAAGGCGAGAAGCGCATGGTGGCGGGAGAATCTCAGCAACTGACCTACAAGGAACTCATGGAACAATCCGACCGTCGGCTGCGGGAGCGGCTGCTCAAGAAGCGTGGACCCCTGGGCTGGGCGATGCGTACTCTCCGCGACAACCCTATGGGAGCCGGTCAGCTGTATGAGGTGCATAATATGGTAATTCTGGCGAAGCGCATTCCCGCAATGATTGTCTGTGGACTTCTCTACGGTCTGCACTATGATATCCACGCCGCTCAGTCTGGTATTGCGGGCACCCCCGAAGGCAAGCGCATGCAGCGCGTGTACAGCCACGCCGCCAAGTATCCCAACGAAGTCGAGCACACCTACTCGTTCATTCAAGTGTTGACCGCCTGCACTGCCTCCTTTGCTCATGGTGCCAACGACATTGGTAACTCGGTCGGTCCTTGGGCTGTTATCTACTCGGCCTGGTCGACGGGCAACGCGGCCGCGGCCAAGGCACCGGTGCCCATATGGCAGTTGGCGGTGCTGTCGGGATGTATCTCGATCGGCCTGATCACCTATGGCTACAACATCATGAAGGGTAAGTCGATCTCATTATGTGGATTGTAATGTGTACTAATGAGATATAGTCATGGGCAACAAGATCACCTACCACTCGCCGAGTCGCGGTTGTTCGATGGAAATGGGAGCCGCCATCACGGTGCTCGTCTTCTCACAGTACTCACTGCCGGTGTCGACTTCCATGTGCATCACGGGCGCTACCGTCGGAGTGGGTCTATGCAATGGCACGCTCAAGGCCGTCAACTTCCAACGAGTCGGGCTGCTGCTGCTGGCGTGGATCATGACGATTCCCATTGCGGGCACGTTGGGTGGAATTCTGATGGGATTGTTCATCAATGCGCCGCATTTCTCATCGTAGATTTTTTTCCTTTCTGATGTATTTAACCTTCTGATGTTTTTTTTGATCGATGGATCAAGGCCTGCTGTGGCACGAGGAGTTTGTTTCTGTTTTTGCTACAATACCCCGATAATGTGATACTTCTGCTGCCCCCAATTCCGCACGTCCAGCAATACTTAGCATAAAAGTACAGGTGGAGGTGATTGGCCAAATGATCGAGATACGCCGTGGCTTCGGGACGAGGCCCGTCTCGAGCAGTCTGGCCGATATCGCACCACAACGATTGGCCTCGGATGAGGGGGGACAGCTTATCAGCACGACATCTCGTGAGGGGGTGGTAAGGACCCTTCGTTACTTTAGTTTTTACAGGGATCGACACCCTTGATTGTACTGACCAAGGTTCCACCACCATGGCTAGTATCATCGAACCTCGCTACCGCCTGGGAGTGGATGTGGGCGGTTCGTCTCCAACTCCATCCATTTTTACTCTGACTGCTCCACTGACACTTCATCGCCAGGAACCAACACCGACGCCGTCCTCATCCGTCTGGATCCCATTGCCATCGTCGTCTCGCACAAAGCACCCACTACTCCAGATGTTACCACCGGAATCACCACTGCCGTTCAGGCCGTCATTGCAGCAGCAAAAGTGCCCCTCTCGTCCATCGCATGCGTCATTATCGGGACTACCCACTTTGTCAATGCTGTCGTACAGCGCTCACCATCTCTACGCCGCGTCGCTGTGATTCGACTATGCGGCGGACCCGATGAGGGATTCGGTCGCAACATCCCTCCTTTTGTCGACTATCCACTCGATCTGCGTGCGCGTATCGAAGCCTTGCGACCATATTTCTGCCATGGCGGATACCAGATCTCTGGGGAGGAAATTAGCCCGCTAGATGAGACGGAGCTTGAGAGCGTAGCGGCGCAGTTGGTCAGTGATGGGGTCAAAAACGTCGTGATCGCGGGTATGTATGCGCCATTGAATCATCACCAGGAGATGAGGGCAAAAGAGGTTCTTTTGCGATCGATGGAGAAGAACGCTGGGCCTTTGTACAAAGCGCGGATTACTCTCTCGCATGAGGTGTCTGGTTTGGGATTTCTGGCCAGAGAGAACGCAGCCATCCTTAACGCCACTCTGCGTCCACTGGCCGAAAGAACGATCTATGGCTTTCAAAAGGCCATGGAGGATATCTTCCAGGATGTTCCGTACACTCTGTATCTGACACAGAATGACGGCAGCGTTCTCAGTGCGGCTGAGGCAGTTCATCTCCCCATCCGGACGTTCAATTCAGGCCCAACCAATTCTATCCGCGGTGGGGAGTTTCTCTGGCGTGCGGCTACAGAAGCTGCGCAGCTGCAGAAAGAGCAGGCAACGCGCACAGAACCATTGGTGGTCATTGACATTGGCGGAACCACCTCCGACAGTGGACTACTCTTACCTAATGGCCTGCCACAGATGAGCTCAGTGACCAGTTTGGTCGGGGGTGTGCGCACCAACTTTGCTCTTCCTGCGGTGGAAAATATCGGACTGGGAGGAGGGAGTATTGTCCGCAGCATCGGACAGGATGATTGCTCCGTCGGCCCGGATAGTGTAGCCCTCGAACTGTTGGAGAGAGCCCGACTGTTTGGCGGAGAGTATCTCACTGCGACCGATATCGCCGTGGCTTCTGCTGTCAATGGCGTGACGGAGACGAACCCGCTAAAAGGGATGGGCGATGTCTCCACATTGACGGATATAACTATCCCCATGGTTAATCAGGCACAATACCTCATGCGCCGCAAGATCGAGGAACTCGTTGACCGTACCAAGATCCACAAAGACGACGTGGACGTTCTTATCGTCGGCGGCGGTGCACCTATCATTCGCACCGATGAGCCCCTGCTAGGTGTGCGACGAGTGCAGACCGTCAAGGGCGGCGAAGTTGCCAACGCTGTGGGTGCTGCTATCTCGCGCGTCTCGGGTGTAATGGATACAGTCGTCGATACCTCGAACTGCACTGTCAAAGAGGCACAGGAGACTGTCTCCCAAATGGCGATTGACAAGGCCCTCGGCAACGGTGCTCAGCCAGATACAGTGCAGATTGCGGAGGTGACCATGCTACCCATTCAGTATGTCGAGGCCAAGGCACGCATTGTGGTGCGGGCCGTAGGAGAGCTGGATATTGTATCGATATCATCCGCAGACAAAACCATTCCTGTCCCAGACGAAGAAGTCCGTGACACAGACACTGTCACACCTCCACTTCATACAATCAATCTAGTAGCCCCTCAACCAGACCTCCACTCCTACCGCCCTCACATCCAAAACAACCAATGGATCATTTCCCCCACCGACCTCGACTTCATCACCCGCGGCTGCAAAATCCTCGGCTGCGGCGGTGGCGGCGACCCCTACCAGGAATACCTAAAAGCCAAAGCCTACCTACAAGACCACCCCGGTACCGTCCGCATTATATCTCCCGACTCCCTACCCGACGAAAGCCTGGTCGGCTGGACCGGCTGCATGGGCAGTCCAGAGGTCAGCATGGAGCGACTCGAGAACAGCGAATGTCTACAAGCCCACGAAGAACTAATGCGGGTGACCGGCAGTGAACCAGTCTCTGCATTCCTCGCCCTGGAAATCGGCGGCGGCAATGGCATGGTGAATCTCGGTGTCGCCGCACATTACGGCGTCCCCTGTCTAGATGCAGATTATATGGGTCGTGCGTATCCCACTATGTGGCAGGTTACGCCGAATGTGTATGGTACACCGAGAGGAGAGGCGCTCGTTCCGGCGGCGATTGCTAGTGGCGATGGTACGTGCATGACGATGACGAGATCGCGCACGGATCGACTGGTGGATAAGGCGATGCGCGCGGCAGTTGTTGAGATGGGGTGTCGGGCTGGGAGTGCGGGTCCGCCTCATCGAGCGGACCGGGTGCGACAGCAGGCGATTCGCAATACGGTTTCATTGGCGTGGTGGATTGGACGGGCTGTGACTCTGGAGAAGAATATTGCGGACAAGGCAATGCGGATTGTGGAAGCGGCGGGTGGGCCTGAGAGTGGTGCCATTCTGGGCGAGGGCAAGGTGGTTAGTGTGTCGAGGGTGTTGAAGACGGGTCATTCTTACGGAGTGTTGGAAGTGGATGGGCGGTTGAGTGATGGACGCAAAGCGACGCTGAACATTCCGTTCAAGAATGAGAATGCCTACGTCGAGGCAGTGATGGAAGATGGCGAGACTAAGATTCTGGCTGCCGTGCCGGATCTGATTGTTGTGTTGGATGCGGAGTCTGGAGCTGGGCTGGGGACCCCGGAGTTCAAGTATGGGCTTAAGGTGGTGGTGTTGGCTATCGCGGCTTCGCCAAGATGGACGGACACGCCGAGGGGAATGGAGTTAGGCGGACCCAAGTCGATGGGATTCGAGGAGGTGGAATATGTTCCGATTGGAAAGTATTGCGAGCCGCGGAGTGTGATTGATGTGTTTGGATAGACCAGCTATATTGCAGGGTGTTTTAGAAGAGAACATAGTAGATAGAATATGATTCATATATGAATGGCTGCAATATTCATCGTAAAGCACATATGAAAAGCGTAACATCCCTCCTCCCCACGGGCAGTAAACCGATACCTACCGATCACTCACACTAACCCTGACACTATTCTTCACATGAATCCCGGCATTCGTATCCATCCACAACACCTCCTGACTCGTATTATCCCCAATACTAGCCCGCGCCTCATTGGGATAACTATCCGGCCCCTCATACAGATGGTGGTCGCCACTAGCAGGCACATTCTGCAAATACAGATCCGGTCCGCCATTACTCCCTGGTGTCTGATCTGTTCCTTTCCGGGTACTGCCCGCCACAGCACCGACTAGACCCTTCAATGCCGGCAACGACAGGGCGATGATGGCTGTGCTGACTTCGGTATCGGACCAGACCATCACGACGGAGAAGTACCAGGTTGCGTCGGTTTTCTGAATAGCGGGGATCATCGAGATGATGCGGGCGACGGAGGTCCTGGTTCGTTAGCTGAGATATATTATCTGCATCTGGAGGTGGCACTCACATCACGGCACTGGATTGAGATTTCAAGGGTTAGTAAACTTTCCACTGAGGAAAGTGAGTAGAGATTGTGAACGTACAAAACACCAAAACACAGTACCACACTCAGCGCAACCTTGCGCGTTGCATTCGCCTTGATCGAAAGCACAATCTTCACCGGTAGTAGCAGGATAAGCGAATCGCAGATGATCGTCATCGCGGCAGTGGAAATAAACACTGTCTTCGATCCCAGACACTTCCCGGTAGCGCCGCCCCACAGCGCAGCGAGCGGGATGCATTGCAGAGCGATAATGAGGACCTGGGCGAGCATGACGGCTGTGACGAAGGCAAAGGAAATCCGGAGGTACAGTTGGAATCTGGGCATCGGATTCAATCGACGGTAAAAGGCCAGTCCGGATAGTCGACACACCCACAATGCGATCATGTATACCAGTTGCGCAGAGACGAGCCATTTGTACAGCAGTGGGGTTTCGGCGGTATCGAGGGCCCAGACGTGCAGGCCGGCGCCGTAGCGGAGGACCTGGGTTGTGAGGGCCATGACGACGATGTTTAACAACTTTTACAACAGTTAAATGTCAGTTTCTGTGCGCAAAGCGGCAATATCGTATCCTACCATCGCAATGCAGATGAGTCCATCATCCCAGCCAAAGCTGCGAATCATGAACCACCGCGCATAGGCTCGAATCAGGACAACCACTCCAGACAGTGCCGTCACGACGCCAATTCCGATCCTCGCCTCAGGGCGTCGGTCCTGCGCCAGGAACTCGGGTGTCAGGTCAGGTGTGCTGGTCGACGCCATGGCAGACACAGGGCCGCTACATTAAGGCGAGAGACGTCGAGAGGAGCGGACACGGCGGTCCTTTAGACATCTGGTGGGCAGGACATGGAAGGGTTTTGTCTGCCGACTCTTCCTGCAGGAGCAGGGGTGTCATAGACTAATGCAGGATTGCAGAGCCGTCGCGGAAGGATGAGGAAAAGCTGACAATCCTCATTAATGAGTAGTGGAACCCTCCTGGGGACAAATGAACTCAATCTGTCTTCCGGCAAGACCACAATGGGTATTATGAACGGTCTGGATCGGGGGGCTGGCGTGCTTGTTCCTTGCTGGTAACACATGGGTCCACTCGATCCTTTCACGTCATGGATCCTGGGTGGAAACGCTATTGATATTGAGCATACATGATTTGCGGAATACGAAGAGAAGCTCGCTTCAATTTCCACCCGCCCCCACCAATGCCCGGTTTCATGACCTGATTCAAGGGGAACAATTGGCCACGGCGTCCTGATTCTCCACTGGACGTTTGTCATCTCCGAGGGTGGGCCATCTGTCATATCACTGCCATGTGTATGCCAAACGTGCGGATAGTTTGCAAAAACCCAACTAGTGCTGCTTTTCATCGTGATGAATGTATGAATATTCATGCCTGTTCTGCTAATGAAGAGACACCATCGTAATGAAGCTGCTCGCTTAAAACTCTTTCACGCCTCAATCCTGCGCATTGCAGAAAAAAATATCAGATAGCGGCCGCGGAATGCCGTTAGCGCAGCGTTAGCAGCAACACTAAAGAGCACCGGTGCGTCGCATGCTTCCTTCATTGCAAGTCACCCCCGAGAAGGGTTTACGCGGAAAATACAAATAGCAAGCCAAGGATTGACTCGAATTGTGTCTCGAATTTCGGGAGATGCTTGGTCACCCACCAGGACCCAACATGTCCGTCTTGTTTGCACCCGTCTTGATCCCTGGGAATCTGGCATCCCTGCCAGTCTCGGTGCCTTTCCTGCTGCTTATCCTTATTACGGTAATTGCCTTGAAAAGGCGCTATGCAACTTCTATCCGGGATATTCCTGGTCCTTGGCTGGCCTCAATTTCGAGCCTCTGGCAGGTGTACCAGTTGATCAAGGGCCACACGGAACAGGAGATCGTGAAACTTCATCGCCGACATGGTCCGTGCATCTCCACCGGTTCGCCATTACACAATTTATTTACTAATAGGTGGAACAGGCAGTTTTGTCCGCATTGCCGACAATGAGGTCAGCGTCGCCCATCCTGATGCGGTGCGCCTGTTGCTTCATGCCAACATCGCCAAGGTATGTTCACGGAGTAACTTATCCCCGTATTCAAGTCACCACGCTAAAAGCATCAGGGATCGTGGTACTCAATTTTTAGCCTGCCAGACTATCATTATGTGAATCAAATGTCAGAACTGGATCCCCAGCGCCACATTCGCAAGTCCCGCAATGTAGCGTCGGGGTATGCCCTGTCAAACATTATTAATTCCGAGCCTTACGTGGATGCTCTTCTGGGACTCCTCGAGAATCAATTCGATAAACTGATTGCATCGGGCCAGCCGGTGGAGTTTGATCGCTGGTTTAACTACTTTGCCTTTGACGTGGTCGGCGAAGTGACCTTCTCCAGCCCTTTCCGGTTCCTCGAGACTGGCACTGATATCCGCAATGCCATCGCCAACACCCGGGCACTGGCGTTGTACATCGCCATCATGGGGCACTACGTGTGGCTGCATAATCTCACCTTGGGAAATCCATTGCTCAGTCGCATTGGTCTGCAGCCCTCTTCGCATATCTTCGACACCTGCCTGGCCGCCATCGATAGTCGGAAGAAAAACCCCGCCGTCAGACTGGATATGATGGAGCGCTGGCTGCATGTGCGTCGCACGTATCCCGATCGCATGGACGAGGCGGAGGTCTTTGGAGCTGCTGTCGCCAATATTGGCGCCGGCGCTGATACTACGAGCGCCACGCTGCAGGCATTCTTCTACTACATGCTCCGCCACCCACACCATCTGCAGAAGCTGCGTCAGGAGGTGGATGAAGCACACGCTCAGGGCGATCTGTCGCATGTGGTATCTTATGCTGAGGCAGCAAAGCTGCCCTACCTCCAGGCCTGCGTATGTGACCCTTCTTCGATCGCGACCGCCGTACTGATGAGCGCAGATCAAGGAAACCTATCGCTACCACCCGGCTACCGGCACTGGGTTGCCTCGTGTCGTCCCGGCGGGTGGTCTCACCATTGGCGGACGGCATTTCACAGAAGGAGTAAGGGTTCATCCTCCATTGATGGCAAACATGCTGACATTGTTGCAACAGACACTACTTAGCATCAACCCCTGGGCTTTCCATCGGAACCCAGAGCTGTTCGGACCTGACTGTGACGACTTCAACCCGGAAAGATGGCTTGACCCTGAAAGAGCCAGACAGATGGACCCGTTCCTCATCCACGTAAGTTTTTTTCCTTCAGAAAGAGAGGACACATTGCAGTATACTGACTACAGACACAGTGGGGAGCCGGATACAACCAATGTCCCGGTCGGAACCTGGCCCACTTTGAGATCTCCAAGGTTTCTGCCACTATCGTCCGCGACTTTGACATCGAGCAGGTTGATCCCAAGAAACCGTGGAGCTTTGAGACCCATTTCACGGCTGTGCCGTATGGCTGGCCTTGTTGGCTGCGTCGGCGGCAGACTACGGCGTAGCGACGAATGATCTCCGAGATGTCTCATTGCTAATGCTTATGACGGGAAGAGGATATGAAAACACTGAGCATGTTCGTAGGGTGTTTATGGTAGACGATACATGATAATATAGAACCTCACTCGACATTAAAATCCCCTTGGCAGTAGTCCCCTCATTTGCATGCCACTTCCCGTATTTCTCCACCAATCATCTACAACTCATTTTGAAAACATAAAATAGCCCGCATGGCTGCACTACTACCCCACGATCTCTACTTCATACCCATATTGACCATGTACATCAACCCCATCCTACCGGGTTTCAATCCCGATCCCTCCATAATCCGCGTTGGGAAGGATTTCTTCCTCGTAACATCCTCCTTCGAATACTTCCCCGGCGCTCCCATCTACCACAGCACGGATCTAATCAAGTGGACCCTGATCGGACATGCCCTCACCCGTCCCATTCAACTTCAGATCCAGACCCCCGAGCCAGGTGGTGGCGTATGGGCTACGACATTGCGGTATCACGACGGCGTGTTCTACATCCTCGCTGCCTGCTTCCAGCGTTATCGACCTCAGGAAGATGACCGCGTCTGGCCGCGCGGATTCTACGTGAAGACCCTAGATATCTGGGACTCGGAGTCGTGGTCGGACCCGGTATATTTTGACCAAGTTGGCTTTGATCAGGATGTTTGACCCCCTTATCACTCTCCCGATTTATCACAGCTAACATATGTGGCAGCTCTTCTGGGACGACAACGGCATCGTCTACCTCTCGAGCACATATCGCAAGCTCGAACGAACTCCCGGTGCAAATCTTAAAGATTTCGCCGTCCACATTGTCACTGTAGACTTAGAGACGGGTACCTCCACTTCAGAGCCCAAACTAATCAGGGAGTCTTCCTCGGGTGTCGCGGAGGGGTCGCATATTTTCAAATGCGGCAAATACTACTATCTTTTCACTGCAGAGGGCGGCACTGAGAGTGGCCATTGCGAATGGGTCAGTCGCAGTACTACCGGTCCATTTGGGCCGTGGGAGGTTGGGCCGAATAACCCTCTCTGGCGGAATGGAGTGGATGATGACGTTCAGAATACCGGGCACGCGGATCTAGTGGAAGATGCGCAGGGGCAGTGGTGGGCTGTCTTACTAGGCGTACGTCCGGTTTGGAAGGATGGGCAGTGGGAGGAATCTGTTTTTGGTAACATTTCATTTATTTATATGCTCTGAACGATCTTCTAACGTCAGTTACAGGTCGGGAAACGTTCTTAGCTCCAGTGGAATGGGAGGACGACTGGCCCATTGTCAACGGCGGCCAAAAGATTTCCCTTCACTCCGATAGTCCCCACCTCTATGAGCTCTCAGTTCCAGTCGCATGGCGTGATGACTTTTCGGACAGTGAGCTCCAGCTTGGATGGTATCGCAAGAACACACCAGTTGTGCGTGACTACTCCCTCACAGAGCGACCAGGCTACCTTCGCCTCTACGGTGGTCCATATAACTTGTCAGTTCCAGCGTGTCCTACACTTTTCCTTCGCAAGCAGACCCATCGTTTCTGTACGTGGGAGGCACGACTGTCTTTCCAGCCCAGGAACCAGGCATGCGAAGCTGGTGCAGTAGTATGGTGGACCTACTTCACCTACAGCAGCATCGGGATTCGCCGAGGGCAAGATGGCCACCGTATTGTTCGGCTACGTTCTCCAGGAGGCGAGGTGGTCGACTTCGGTCTACGCCATTCCCAGTCGGATGTTCGCTTGGTGATCGAGTGCGGAAATGGCTACAGGTTTGGATTTCAGGAACTCAGCGACGTTGAGCCAGATAATGCTTTGATTCAGTGGATAGGAGTAGTGGACAATAGCTGTATGACGGCACCGCCACCCGTGGGAGTGGTTTTTACGGGCATGATGCTGGGGTTGTACGCGTTTGGAGAGCGGCAGCGCTGTCTAGACCCAGCTGACTTTCATTACGCGCAGTGGAAATAGGTTGGAACCTTCACGAGCATTGGGTTCTTTAAATGAAAGGGTAGGCTGGGGGGAGGTAGTACCTAAGGACATGGGGATGAGGCCTCAATTTATTCACTGTAGCTAGTTACGGCCAGATGCTTGGCCATAACTGCTAACCCTACTTCCATTCTGAAAGTTATAATGAAAATATGGTCTGATTCTCGGTAAGAAAGAACCTTATCATACACTGTATATATCTGTTACCCTGATATGGATCGGAATACTTACAACAAAAGTAAAACAGCCAGGGAGGGCCCTTGGCCCGTAGACTCAGCAACAGCTCACTCCACAGTAGAATGTAACTGTACCCATTTAAAGGGGCTCTGATATTTAACTGCTGATATAATACAGGCAGACAGCCACAAACAAGCCCATGAAGTGAGCGCATTTTAAGTGGACGGCTATCTTTCGATTTATTCTGCCATCAGCTCCCATCTCCCATTGTCTGCATTTTCAGCACCTGGCCCATCCATATACACGATTCTTTAGCTTAGATATGCCCGCAAGAGACTACCTTAAACGCTTGTACGCTGTGCTTCGACGTAGATCCTTTGGTGAGCCAATGCAGCTGTGACGTAACGACAGTTTTGATCACAAGAAAGCTGACCAACAGTCTCATCATCTTAGAACGCTTATAGTAGACTCATCTCTTGAGTTTCCCGTTCCTCTTTTCATAAAGACAAGAGAATAACGCCAGTTATGGAGACATTATCTGAAACTGATGCGATCAGGGTACACCATATCATGTCGATCGAAGCGTCAATCTCATTGCGTAGGGGAAATAATTATACGTGAGCTACATCACAGGTTTTTGAAGTTCCCTTTGTGATAATGTCAGGCATGTCATCTTTCTGTGCATTTCTAGGCCATTACATATAATTATTGATCCTTTAACTCCTGGTCCTTCCCTCCATGCTTTTCCCGATCATCTTGCTCAATCATATTGAGTCTAGCGGTTGCCCGTGTTAATTTCGAGGCATGCACATTGTGTGGGTGTCAAAGAATTTGCAAGCAGTTGGGTGGATCATCCTCGAGGTGTGAGTCTTGCTCTGCTCTGTCTATAGGTCATGGTTGTACGTATATGTTTAATACGGCATTGACATCTTTGTTTCCGCTAATAGATAGGTAATACACGGCTGTCTCTCGACCTGCCTGGAAAATAGCTCGGGTCTTGCATTGAGGTTGACACATACTAGTACTGAATGGAGGAAGATGAAGAAGAGAAAGCGGTGCGGAAGTGCAGCATAAATAGCCACCCGAAGCGGTGATCCGGTGAAAGGCAGCCTGACTCTAATGAGTGTCATAGTATGGGATAAGGGAATAAGAAGCTGCTATTCACAATTGAGGTGAATCGCAGCCTACCATACAATGCTATATGTACGCAGCAGCGGAAGGATTATAGGTTGGAAACAGTCGGCAGCTTATGTAGAATTGAAAAGACTTACATTCTCTGTAGAAACGAAGATATATTGCCGCAACAGAGGCCTGCCCGGATGGTGGCAGTTGCTGGGGAAGTTCTGTCATCTTTCGTCGTCATTGTAGTTCAATTCAATTAATATCATTATACCTGATCGCGCCGGTGAAGGAAGGTGCTGAGTATGCAGGTGCTTCAATAAAGTATGAATAGGTCCCTCCAGCTCGCAGAGGCACAGGCATGCATGAAGCAACGCGTGCTGCGGAATGAGGAAGATAAATCACCATAGCCCACGAAGAGGGACCCCTCCATAATGGAAAGCTTATTACCGGTTGTGTTTCACGCGCTTTTCCAACTATTGTAGCACTAATTTTATGTCAATGAATATTAAGAAGTAATCGGAGTTGGGCCTCCACCTCGGTGCTAAGTTGAAAGCTATAGCCATCTTTATCATTCCTCAATACTTCAGGTTCCAGTTCATCAGCATTATCCGTCTCATAGTTTGGATCCTCTAGCTCGATTCGCTTCCATGTCACCTTCGAAGCTTCCTTCCACTCAGCTTCTTGGAAATCATATGGCCATCTGTATTGCTCCTGGAGGACTTTTTTCATTCTCGGATACTGCAGGTTAGGAGAAGGTTTCAGGCTCAGACTCATAACATGTAATGAATAGGAAGATCAGCATACCACCGCCGGGTAGTATTTGTTATATAGTTGGCGAGTACATCGTGACGGGCTCGGAATGATTTCGAGTGATTGGAGCTGTTGCAGATACGCGGCTAGATAGCTGAAGGCATGAACCAGAGTAGTTTGCGGTAATCGTCCATATCATCACCCGGGGGTGGATCATCGAAGGTCCAAACTCGGATGGTAGAAATGTGAGGAAGGTAATTCGTTTACTGACCAGGCCAAACGCGAACTGTCATCCCTTACTTTCTTTCGTATGCAGAATGACATGGACGCCTTCGTCCATGGAACAGGTCAGCGCAATCTCCTGCGGAAGCAGGAAATCTAGCCGCGGCGCCTCGTAGTAGCTGAACCGGTCGGGGTCGCGGCCACCACGGATCTCGTCGTCTTCGAGGTATACGAACGCACGGGAATATGGGTTGATGAACTCGACATCAGCGGCAATGCTTGAGAATCGCAAAAATGATATTCGCTTCATCAACGAAATCACTACAGAATCGAGGTGGAGCTCCTCGCACAGAGCCTTGTTGATAGTGTGGCTATCCAGCGTGGGCGGCCAGGTGACCTCCCAGTCAGAGATATAGGATAACTTATTCCCCAGTCCTTATGTCTTTTCTTTTCTTTTCATTTTTTTTTCCCCTCTTCTTTTCCTGTAATTTATCCCTTTTATTGTCTTTGTATATGTATATACCTGGGGAGCCTCGACAGAAAGCAGCTCGTGCAATTCGCGGCGTAGAAGTATCGTTTCGATCCATGACGCGTGTGATGGTCGAATCGTCCCCTGTCTGTATTTTGGAAAATATGCTGCTCTACATCACTGTTTCTGAAGAATTGGTATGCTCAGCAGAATTCCCTATGCTGCCTTTGCTAGTTCCAGAAGTCCTTATTGCCTCATGTAGCTGACATTTTACCTTATCACGCCCCATTCACCTTGCAGAATCCTAACGGTGTCTGATGCCTCAGCATGCTACGCAGTAGACTGCGCCACAGAAGGTTCATTGACTGTCCTTACCTTTTTGGTTAAGCAATAACAGTGGTCTGTTTCGTATCGCACTAGCTAGAACCACAGGGTGGGTGGGTACAATATGCGAATTGGTACCAATTGCTCATGTAATTCTTTATAGCGCCCAAGTAGCTCTCTAATGCAAAAGAAGCAACAAGAATAGATGATAAAAAAGATACAGATAGCGTTATCGGCATTTATTCATAGTGGCTAACTAAATGTTTACATGATGACCTCCGCTTAATTCCAGGCCTTGTATTTGAATTCAAATCCAAATAGATCGGGTACTTCCGTTCTCCCGCCCAAACGTCATGATTGGTAATGTAATCGGACAACGAACCGGCGCGACAACGAGCCGCCGCTCTCCTACTAAACATGCAACAATCAATTCAAATTTAAGGTAATCCAGTACTATATAGATGAATTTATATAAATAAATTGAAAATTGATTTTATCTATATGTATTTAAACTATTTGAAGTCTTTATTATTGTAATTATCATAATATAATAACTAATATTAAGTATTTTCTAGTATTTACCTATTGTAAGGAACTCTTCTAGGGGTAAAAGTTCGGAACAAGACCATAAGGCCATCGTTACCCGCAGATACTCTGCGGACCCCTAGAATCCCCTATATACTCAGGTACACCCGGGAGTAGGCGTCTTGTAAGGATTACTTTCCTTACACGTATCTTAATATCAAATACTGCAGTATACATCTTTTTCGTGGCAAACTAACCGCAATTAAAGGCTTTACAGATAAGTTATAGTTTTCTATCTCAATAAGACATACTATATATATTTAAATAACTTCTTTCTTTGAAAGAATTTACAGAATAAATATTGTATATCTTAGAGATATAAGCTCATTGTCGCGACGCTTCGTTGTCCGGTTAAATTAGTTAACTAGTTAACTAATCAGATCTTGAAGCCAGTCATTAGGGAACACACTAGCTGTGTATAAGAACTTATCTCTAATTGTACTACTCGACCAGCTTTGATATGAACACTGCTGCTAAGGGAGGAAGAACTAATTTTGGAAGACATGTTTCCTGTGGTATGAATATGCTTGTGCATAACATATCCGGTTGGTGTAATACTGTGATTCAGAGTACAACGCCTGTATCGTTACCTCTTGCTTTTCCGAGGGACGAAGTGGAGGTTAGTTCAACTGCCATCTATCATATGGGAAAGGAATCTGTGACGAGCCAATCAGTAACCGTATAATCGGAAACGCTTTCGAACTATGTGGCCGTTACATATACCCATAAAACCTCTTACAACTGACAGCGTCGGCCCACTATGTCCCCGCATCGACCCACGACACCTACGAAGAAGAACTGAATACCTTAAGCAATCCATCATTATCTCCGGTAGAGCTGAACATCCACTAGTAACCACGCGGATATAATTGGTTTCTAGCGTTCTCTTGTTGTCTTCGGCGTGAAATTCTAGCTTCAATCTTGGATATGTAAATGTAAATGTAACCTTTCAAAATACTATTGTGCGCCTGAACTTGGTGCGCATACTAATATCATTTCAAGTTCTCACTTATACAGATCTTTATAGGGAATTCGGTCATTATTAATCAGCTCGTTAATACTCCTGGCTTGCGCGAGTAAGGGTGTTGTCCTGCCTGTCGCCAGTTCACATTCCTAGCTGATAGGGGCCGCAACCAATGGAACGGTCATTGGCGATACCACTCCTGATTGCGTCGCATATGCATTGTACCACCACCAGTGGGTAGTCCGACGGACCTATTGCCCAAGTTATCTCTGTTATGTATGCCTGGCTTCAGATAGACAGCTCGGGGCGGATCCTTACTATATAATTATTACTTGGGTATACTAGCTTGTTTGATACAACTCGGTGGACTTGGATGGAGGAAGGACTCGAAACATAGTTTATTAATATCTTATGGTATCATTAGTGGTATACTATTTCAATATGCTTTTGTTATGATTATAGGCTACTGGATATACTCTTAGGACGAATAGGATATATTTTATTGATTGTTTATCATGAATATAGTACTGTTCCCAATAGGCTCATCCTATCCAGTATGGCCAATGCTATCTTGTTTCATGCACCGCTACTGACAAAGACGTCTATTTATTAAGGAGGAGTACGGAGTGTTATCCTTACCCATGATTGTCTTCGGGGTAGAGTAGCGGATGTATGAGAAAGGAAGGGGTGAAACTGCCATAAATGTCTAGATCAAATAAATTCAGCGGAGACTAAGCTTAATTGAGAAATGATTTTCCAACCCGGAGGCCCACTGTAAGAGATTTAGCCAATCACAGACAAACTTCAAAGTGCGTTTCGGTCTTGTCCCGAACCCTAGCGGGGGATGGGGGAATTATACCCCAGTAATTGATAGCCAGACTCCTATGCCGGCTTTACCATCCCTAGCCGGCACAACTAGGTTGACAGATAAAGTGTAATATGATTCTTCTATAGATTGAAACAGAGGAACCTGCGGAGACGGGGGTGATATTAACTCACTTTCTGCAGTCCCCACATACCGGCCCCACCGCTTCACCCGAACCGGATTTCACCATACGGGGATTCGTCATCGGCAATAACTAAGGAAGAAGGATAAGTTTAAGGAGTAAATGTAACCCTGCTGTGGTGACGTATAAATGTACACTCTTTTCAAAATCTTCAATAGCACACACTCTTTTACCTACCCACCGCTCGTTTTTTTTCTGCTTCTTCACCTTCCTAACTCTGCAAGCTGCAGCCAACATGAAACTTGCCAATGCCTCAATTCTAGCAATGCTACCCGCCACTGGCCTGGCTGCCTGCGGGACTGCCTACTCTGGCAGCCAGATCAATGGTACGCTGCTTCGCGCCGTTGTGCTTGACATGGGCAGCGATGCTGCCAACGTCACCGCCACCCAGTACGACCAGTACTTCAAGCAGGGGAGCGCTCTTGAGGGCGTCAAATCTGTTATTGCCAACAGCGATTTTTACATCAACCTGTGGGCCATCCCTGGCACCGAGTCCGCCTTTCAGAGTGTCAGCCAGTGCATGAGCGACGGCTATCTCGTTAACCAAGTAGCCTGGCTGTATTACAACAGTACTACCGCGAAGTGGTGGGGTGGCTACGAGGCTGAGACTGAGGCAGACAGTTACAATGCTGCCGCCCTGTCTGTTGTCACAAACCTCGTGGCCGGCCTCGAGGTGCGCTTCTGGGACACTGATGGAGATGGCTACACCGATGTCATCGATGCCGACTATCTTGAGGGCGTCACCGTCGACACCATCACTCACAACTCCAACGGGACTTACTCGATCTACCGCGGAAATATCGACGTCGCGGACAAGACGCGCTGGGAGGGCACGATCTTTGACGGCGACTTTTTCGACGGCTCCGGCCCGGCGATTTCTGAAAACAACTTTGACACCACTATCTCACCCGGCGACGTCGCGCTCTTCTGGTACGGTCCCAAGGGCTGGGCCATGAAGCGTGCCCAAGAGGTTGCCGGCCTCTTTGTTAGCGGTTCCGACCACACCTCCTACAACATTGACGGGGTCTCCTATGAAGACGCGATGCGCTTTTCACGCGACAACCTGTTCATCTCCAACCGACCTGGCGAGTTTACCGACGCTCAAAAGTTCTTCAAGTTTACCAATGATTCAGCCGCTGGCCTCAATGTCAGCCTCTGGCTTGTACCTGTTACCCACACCACCGAGTACGGCGCGCCCGTCGGCATGACGAGCGACGGCAACTCGCGCATTTTCCTCGCAAGGGCAATCGCTCAGGCCCAAGCGCAGCTAGCCAACGTGGCTATTAGTAGCAACGGGGCGAACGTCCCGTCCACCCAGGAGTGGGTTAACCAGGCCAATTATACTCAACTCCACGACGCCATCGCTAGGGCCAACCTGTCGCTTGCCCTTGCTAACAGCTCGTCTTTCCTACTTGACTACCAGACCTACGTGCTGTACCAGACTCTCAACGGCAGTAGCAACGACATTGGTGCCGCATACGCCGGCTTCAGCTACACAGGCTTTGAGAACGCAGAGCAGCTCGGGACGGCCTGAATTAATCTTTCTTCTGTCCCCACGTCATCATATTTCTGAACCCATGAATTATTTATAGACCCTGTATAGATAGATGCAGTCAAATAGCATAATCTTATAACCTTTTCCTCCCCCGGATCAAGTCTGGTGTAGCAATTCAATAAGGCATGATTTTGGAGTAGGATGTATCACGACCATAACGGGGCGACTTTGATTGACATTGTTGGAGGGCAAAATTGATCAATGTTATGCTAGATTAATACAGGGGCGAGTCCATCCTGGCAAAAAATTTTGAGGCGCATCGCAATCTCTATTCCTGTCTGGGGCTGTTGTTTCAGTGGTTCAATTGTATTTCAATGTCAACTGCCGTCTCTGCCGTTTGCCGAGCTAGATTTTGGAGATAGCAGTAACCATGGCCTGGGCGTCGTTTCCGTTATCTCCGAAGGGGTGCCATGCAGAGAAGCGGTACAGAATCTAAGGTACATAAGATCATCGCTTCGTATACGTGGCCGATTGGGCTGCTCCACATTGATGACATCGGAGTTAGGGGCTAACTCCAATCGACGAGTCGTTGAAATATATATTTTTCATGGTGCACCCCGAAGATAAATCCGTTGAACTTGAGACAGATGGCCTTCGTTATTGGAAAGGACAATATGTACAGGCAATTTAGACTGCTGTTCTCGCAAGCAGAGGAACGGAGACTAATTATGTGCATTCATTACTGCAAAATATGGGCAGGCATATGGCAGTATCCCGGTATATACCCTCGCCAAGCACCATCAGGGACTAGTGGGAGTTCAAATCAGGGTCTGGACCCCGAATTGGCTTCTGACCTTGCCCGACGGAGCCTAGCCGCCTTGTGGTTTGCCCGGACGTGCCTTGAAGCAGTTTAGATCCGGTCGCAGTGTTGCCTCTTCTGGTAATCTTCAAAGAGTCAGCATCACGAGCAGGATTGGATGGCGGAGAAGGTGGCTGCCACTATCACGCCTCTCTTGCAGTATTCCTTTCTTTCTTTCTTTCTCTTTGAATTATTTCGTAATTGCATAGCTCGTTATCCCGCATCTTCCTATCCACACACTCGTTCATCCACCATCACAGCAATCAGTCACTCGTTCCCATTCTGATGAACCGCACACTCCTTCTCGGTCTGGCTGCTGCCGGCCTGGTCTCAGCAAAGGCCACTGTCACCTCCATGTTCATCTACGACACCGATCCGCAGCCTTTGGCCGCGTCCATCATAGGTAACGCAAGTTGTCCTTGTCCCTATCAGCCTGGTATATTTTCCTCAACTAACCGTGTTGCAGGATGCGACCGCGACAACCTACAGTATCAACTGCCCACCCGGCACCGATTCCAGTGATTGTGGCATGGGTCCCGGTCTTACCCTGATCGCCGGTCCCAAAACCACCATGATCCTGGACGCCCCGGACGAAGATTTGTATGTTGATGGTTGTCTACACCATGTACAGTGGTCATGACTGACATGGTTTGTTACACAGCTACTACACCTGCGTTTGCTCTGTCGATGGAACGACGCACGCCGTCTGTACCGAAACAGCCTCGGGATCCGGCGCCAACTTCCCAGGAACCAGCAGCACCACCCTGGATGGTGATCTGGATTTGATGCCTGTGACTATCACGGCGGGCTCTGTCACGAGCGTGGCTGCCTCCGCCGCCCACGCTACAACTGAGGCTCAGACAGCAAGTAGCACGGGTTCCGCTGCTACTGCTACGGGGAAACAGTCGCAGACATCTGCCGCCTCTACTAGTGCTGCCATGGCTGGCTCTGTCACCTCTTCCAAGACTGCGACTGCCTCGAATGTCGATGCTTCTGCTACAGGCACTGGAAAGGCCTCCCTGCTCAAGGGTGACGCAGCGTTCCTCTTCGGAGGATTTGCTGCTGCTTTTGTTGCAGCTGTCCTCTAGACCCAGCCTAGAATCATGCCATACTCGCATTTCATAGCGCTCAAGTCTCATAGAGCGCACTTGTGTATAATAACATGGAATCATATTACGCTTTATCGCAAAGTCATCCAAATTGTCTTCTAAGAGGAAAGCCGAGATGGATGCAGATATGGATACAGATATGACGTGAACGTGTACGAAAGGACGACTAGATACTCGTAGGCGTAAGCGTGCCGAAAGGTGATCGTCAACTTCAGAATCCCACGACCAGTGGCTCATGCGAAACTCCCTCATCATCATATCACATCGGACAATAATGTGCCAACAGTGTTCCAGGTATTGACCCAGCGCCTTGCGGTTAGTAGGATGGAGAGGATCATGCGGGACTTCCAGGGATTGCCGTGGTGTGTAGTCTGCGAACTCCATCATGATGAGCACCAATTCCAGCGGAAGCTTCGTCGCATACACGAGGATCCTTCTAGATTTCTGGGGAATGATGGAGGGGTGATATTGTGGGATCACATGATATCTGTGGTCACCGAAACATGACACCATCCACAGGAATGCACCTTATCGTTAATACCCCTCCAAAAGAACATTCTGATAGGCAGTATAACAGGCCACAAGCCCATATACTAGTACCAACTTCTATTCTTAAGGAGCCTGCTGGAAAAGCCTTGCAGAAGCCCCTTTATGCCGTTCTGTATATAGTAAATCTCGCGACGCTGTGAGTGCTCGGCAAGAGCAAACTGGATTTGCTATATCCAGTTTGCTCCTGCTGAGTAAGGTTTCGATTAATCAACCAACACCAATTGATCGATTATACCACCAAAGGGACCAGCTGGATAAGGCTTTTACAGCTGACACCATCAGGTCACTAAGTATCTATATCACCGCCATCGTACTGTTGTATTCATGTATGGAATATCTTAGGCTATGACATACAGGAGGTCAGATAGCCTAAGCAAGCATCTCGTGAAGTTTGTTGGCTACAAGGTCCGGGTTATTCCGCTACACAAAGTGGCCGGCCGGTCCCTTGCTGCGGTCTGAGTCGGTGAGCTTGGCCAATCCCCCATTAAGCGAAATGGAATTTGGATTAACCTCTTGTCATACATATGAGTTTCTTTAAAACACAGCACGATTCAAGGGAAGAAAGAATGCAGATAGCTTAGTAAGTTTGGGTAAATCATGTCAATTTAGGGCCACGGAAAAGGAAGTCAGTGTCAGGAACAGGCCGGTTCAGTATCCATACCTAGGAGTCATCATAAGCAAGGTTGTCGGTCTCTGTATCGGCTGCGGTGGCCGGGACTTGCGAGCCGTGCTTCACCGTGGACACTGATCCATCGCTCAACGACGATGGAGGGGAAGATTCAGATCGGTGTGCCAAGCTTGAGGATTGCAGAGCTGACATGAGCTGGAAACCAAAGTCATCCATACCCTCATCGTCGTCATTGTCGTTGTCATCCAACTCCCCAGGCTCTGCGGCTCCGCTAAGTGCGGCAAGCCGCTGGAGAAGCCATTGCATCTCCAGGATCCTGGTATCAGGTAGAGGAAATAGCACCGGATCTAGTGTCTTCACTACAATGCAGTCCCCAGACTTGATGGTTTGGTGGTTCGATGGATTGTAGAGGCATATGCCTCCCGACTCAGGATCGTAGTTGGCCGGGAGTTCCGGAATCTCGTAAAGAATGGTAGGTCCCTCCGACCTCGACGGCTTCAGCCACCAGAACTTAACTTTCAGCTCGGTCTTCTCCTCGTTGACCCCGCATGGTTCCAAGGCAAATAGTGCCTTGGAGTGGAGGCGATGCGCTAGTGGGTTTAGAAGGACCAAGTTCTCCGGCTTCTCTGTACCTCTCACATCAGAGAATACCGCCTTGTGCCACTGATTCACTCTTTCTTCGGACCAGAAGCTCCGAAGAGTAGACCAGAACAATCCAGTTGATGCGGTCTCTTCATCACGCAACGAAAAGGGATACAAGTGAGCCACGTCGCAGATATCTGCAGGTGCCGCGGTTAGGATACAAGACCGGTCCCGTTCAAGGCACTTTCATATTGTCAGTCTCATACTTGGGGAAATGATGGGTTACCTTACAGTCTTTCTGCATGCACCATCCCTCCTCGCCCTTTTACTGGATACAGGTGAGTCCAGCGGCTCACCCGGTCGCTTTTTCGGTGTGCGCACTGGTGTGGATGGGTTTGAGGGAATAGGCTCCGCAGGGGAGCTTCTCAATTCATTGCGTTCGCTTGTGTCCAGATTGGTTGTCATGAGTGTCAGCCCTCGTCGAGTATCTGGAGAGGTAGTAGATCCGATGCCTCTGGTTGGGGCAGACACGGTTGGTGATGTGTGAATGGAGGCTATTGCTTGTGCATTAGACGGCGACGGGATGACGGAGTTTCGCTTAGATGCGGAGTTTGGATCGCGTTGTAACCCTTGACAGACAATGGGATCTCTTAGTATTCCTATACTCAGAACAGTCATGTAGCCTTACACTTCTCAACAATCCTTAATGATTCGATACCCAGCAAGCGTTGTCCGAGAGTATCCTCCGAGTCTTGAGCAAATTCTCTGAGCTTTTCGATGTCCGCAAGCCACAAAGCTGCTCTTGCTGTTGAAAGTGAAAAAATGAACTTCATCTTTCCTGAGATTTCTTCAATCAGTCGACGTCTTTCGGGCTCCTGGAAGGGAGCATCTGGGCCCTGCATTATGGATTATGAGTTGTGAGTTTGAGAAAAGAAGACAATAGAGGTGTAGCAGATGTATGAGAGTTCTTTGATGGGCACTTGTTGTGTTATCTTCGGTCGGGCAGATGTTGAGTTGAGGAATTTCTAGATTTCTGGGGAGATGATAGAGATGACATTGTGGGATCACATGATGTTCCATGGTCAGCGAAGAATGACAGCATCCACTTAGTATGTATATAATCATCATTGCGACTACTTCCAAACACCATTCTGATAGGCAGTATTATAAACCACAAGCCTATGGTGCTTGTAAGGAGCCAGCTGTAAAAGCCTTCCAGCTGACGCCATCAGGTCACTCTCTATATCACCGCCGTTGTATTCATGTATGAAGGATCTTGGGCTAAGACATCCAGGGGATCAGATAGCCTTATCAAGCATTTCGCGAAGTTCGTTGGCCACAAGGTCCGGGTTATCCCGCTGCACAAAGTGGCCGGCTCCCGGAGCCTGAAACGGGCCTTTACTGCGTTCCGAGTCGGTGAGCTTGGCCAACCCTTCATTGAAGCGGTGCCAGTAGGGGTTCATATACACTTCCGTCAGCCTTGGTGGTGCACCGCCCATCTTCTCAAACTCGACCTTGAACGTCTCGAACTCGTGACCGATAACCGTCACCCAGGGACCTCGACCATCGGGACCCTGCAATCTGGGACCATCGCTCTTTGGGAGGAGTTCCGCTAGATTCCTCCGACTGAGGCCCTCGCCACTACCATTGCTGGGGTGGAAGACCCGTTGCATGTATGCCCGGGCATCACGGATGGCTTCCACTGACACACCGTCTGGCAAGCTGGTCTCGTCGAAGCCAGGTGCATCAGGGTCAGGATAAATAGAGATAAAGTCGGAATTGGCGAGCACACTGTCCAGGAAGAGCAGCCCTGCCACTGTTCCAGGATATTCCTGCGCGTAAAGACGCACCAATGCACCGCCAATCGAGTTCGAAACCAGCACCAGGGGAAGACGACTGAGATCGGATACACCCAACTTCTCCGAAGCGACTTGTGTAATAAGTTGACGCAAATCCCGAACAACGGCCAACGTATCATGACCATGCATGGGATTCTCAGCTTTCGCGTCGTCAGGGTCCCGGTCTGTTGTTTGGCCCTGACCGTACCGATCATAGGTCAATAGGGCGGGGAGACCATGAGCGGGAGGCTGAGCTTGCAGGCGGGCGATTGCGCCCTCCCAGGATGTCTGTGGTAGCCCCAAACCATTTATAAAGACGATTAGAGCCGGCTTATCCGTGCCTACAGCAGCCTGAAAGCTGTAACATAGCTTAGCGGATGGCTTGGTAGCCAATGACAGGAATTCGTAGGAAGACATATGGGAGGGTAAACACGATGACGACAATCTGGTGGGCAGGAGGAGGGTGCAGTGATCACAACAGGGAATCTCTAGCACATGAGCGCGTGGCAGCTATTCAACGATATTAGACTCCAAGAGGCTCCATGAGCAGCTGGAAGACGAACACCAAGATTATGTAGTCGGGTGAGTTCAGCAAGACCACCTTGCGAGGGGATGGGAGAAGCTGCGCCCAGTTGTGGAGACTCGCTTGAGTTAGTAGTTTGACAGGCTGGCGAGCCAGCCAGTGGGAATACGGTCTAAGTTTGAACTAAATCTGTACAATGGTAATCCAGGCCCGATTCATTTAATGGTCCCTGTATCAAGCACCCAAGGAGTTGAATTAGTGCAGTCCAAACTCTATATTGGTTGACAAGCTGTGCCAGAAAACAAGCTTTCATCCTGGTGCTTGTACGCCAACATCGCTTTGCCTCTATCTGAAAGCACAGTCCCACCCTGGATGGCTTTACAGGGACATGGCATGATACAAGTGGGCATTGCGAAAGATTCTAGCTAGGTAGGAGCGAACGACAAATTCTTTCATCCCGTGCCAGCAAAGAATGACAAGGCCTATGCAACCATGGCAATCAGCCTTGTGCATGGCTACTACCTCGGTGGCCCAACAGAGGGACAAACTAGCTACGCGGAATCTATGAATTATTGTTACACTGGCCGTATCAGTGTCCGCACTCCATTGTTCCCGAATTCCTCCTAGTGCTTACATTTGCCCCTCCCCCCACCCCTGTACGCCGTGGCTTGTGCTAATCGGGCTAGTCTACTTGACCCACTTGGACAACCCCTCAATTGTCGAATTAGCTCAGCCTATTTTTCCGGTGGCACTCGAAACGTGAATTGATTGGGATGCATGTGCAAAGACTAAGGGTATCTTCCCCTTGGATAATGCGCACAACTTCTGCTCTAGGAGATGAGCTCGGGCTTAGTGTAAACTCAGCTTCATGGTTATCTGGGCCAGGCTACCACACTGATGCAATATCAGCATGTAAATACACTACACACGCCAAAAGGATACACTCTAAGGAATGGCAGCATCCTCGCCAGATGCAGACAACTCATCCTAATCAATAAGCAGGACCCGATAAGACATTCTTGTGGATATGGCCGTTGATCACGATGGCATGCAATCGCGACTTATCCTGCAGAACAGTAATATCTGCTAGAGGATCTCCATCGACTAGTATCACGTCGGCATAATACCCCGGCTGCACTTTGCCCAATTCCTCCGGATAGCCCATGATCTCCCCTCCCAGGGCCGTGGCCGCTAGAATGCTTTCCATCGGCGTGTAACCAAAATGCTTAACGAAATGATGCAAGTCCCGCGCGTACGTGCCATGCGGCGCCCACGCAAAGCCATAATCCCCGCCTGGCAGCACCCGGATGCCTCTTCTGTGCATCTCTCTCATAGACTTGCAAGCCGCTTCCACCTCTTCCTTGATGCCCTTCTGCTCGGCCATTTCGACCGTGAACCCGAAGGGGATAGCATCCCCCGCACAAGTGGCAAGAGGCAGATTGATGGCTGGGGCCACAATGACCGAGTCCTTTCGTTGCTCCAGCATATCTAAGCTCTCTTCATCGTTGAAGCTAGCGTGATAGATCACGTCCACTCCTGCCTGGAGGCACAACTTGACAGATTCTTTGCTACGGGCATGAGCGCAGACGCGCTTTCCTCGGTTGTGGGCTTCTTCCACAGCGGCCACCGTCTCCTCCAGGGTGAAGTACGTCTCGTTGCTGGGCATGCTATCGGTGATGTTATCACCCGTTATGCTGAGCTTGATGTTATCCGCTCCTAGCTCGATGAATGATCGCACCGTCTTTCGCATCTCGTGAGGCCCGTCTGCATACTTAGAAATGTCAGGGATGATGGCGCCCCCGGTAGTGGTGATCTCCGGCGTGTTGGCCAGTGTTCGCGGTCCCGGAATGAGGCCGGACTTGATAGAGGCCTTGATGGCGATGTCGAGTCGGGCACGCGCAGAGGCTGCACCAAAGCACATGGTGTAGCCGCAGTCAAGATAGGTTTTAGCCGAGTGGGCGGTAGCAAGTACATGCTCTTCCAGGGGCATGGTGGTCAGCCCGTCTAGTGTCTCTGCATTGTTGAAGCTGAGATGAGTATGAGCATCAACCAGGCCTGACATCAGGGTCTTGCTGCCGCCTCCATCGATGACCAAAGCCCCTGTTGCGGCTGTCTCATCAACTTGTCCTACAGCCACAATGCGTTTCCCTTGGATGAGGACGTCTCCCAGATAAGGGAGGCTGCCTGTCGAGTCTAAGATGCGAACATCCTTAAACAGGACTTTCTCGGGATCACCTGGCTGGTGGTTGTTAATGGTAATGTCGGCAGGCGTGGGCCGGTAAATTTCCCCGGTCGATTGTGAGATCGAACCCATGTCTTCCAGCGGACATACAAGATGTGTTACCTGGTTGGAGAGAACAGACACCTGTCAATTCCTCACACTCCTTTAAAACGACCTGGCCTGCTGACCAAGCCGGTGCTTGCAAGAGGGGTTGCTGCGGGGCTAAGTGCAGCTGATACTGGCTGAGGGATCTGCAGTATGGCATATCTGCAGTCGTACATTGGTTCTGCATGTCAATCCATGTCTTCCTGCAATCAGTGTAGAAAATTGCAGGCAAGATATTTCGCAGAGGCTTCCTCAGCTGCCTCGTCGTCCATTCGGTAACATGCCCATTGGCGATGGATCCTCACAGCCAGGCCGCCCATTCGTTCTATTCTCCGGGAACAGCCGCCTGTTCCCGCAAGGCATCGAATCCATTTCTTCGTTCAGAAGAGGGGGGATATCCACTAAGACTCGTTGTGGCCTTCTGGTTGGCACCACGCTGGCCGCACCGTCGCGGCCGATCTACTTTAGCCTTGTGGGGTGCAACCTGTGCCCAGCGTTTCACATGGCACCTTCTGTGAGGCCCTCACTACGAATAGTGTCAGCTCGAGGAGACCATGATCATCCCCTCGCCTCCAGCGTACACGGGAGAGCACTATCCCGGCCCGTCTTCCGCGCCTCCAAAGGGAGTCAGCAGGTAAGGCCCAATTACTGGACCGGTGGGGGAGTTCTTCCTATAATTCGACCGCGGCTCCAATAGCAGGGCAGGAGTCACTTTTCAGCCGTTCCAAAATACCTTACCCTCCGTCGATGCATCGGATCACTGAAATAGTGGAGAGGCAGGTCGAACTCTATCGCCATAGTCGTCCCGCCCCATTGCCCCGCGCACTCACCGAGACCATACCATCTCACCAGTCCAGTATTGCAAAGGAAATCCTCATAATCTGCCAAAGTTCCATCTCACACCTCTGACTTGAGGTATTCCCTTCCCTCTGGATTTCCACCATCCGGCACGAATCCGTTGTAGGTTTTGCTCAGGCACTTCGGAGCAAAGTCTTCCCTACTGGCGGTTCGTCACGCTGGTTGACGGGAAAAGCCATGTCGAAGCCCTCGTGGCCCGTTGCCGGTCTCCAGTTAAGAAGACGCAAGTAGCAGCTGCATCCCATTGGCATCAAAGGCACCTCTAGCTACCGATCCTATGCCATCAATTAGCGGAGCTGGTATATGACCATGAGTCACCCTGTCCGACGTAGAGCAGCACGCGGGAAACCTTGCGACCGATCCCGCAAGGCTGAGTGACAAAACCCTCGACGGTCGCAACGCCATGGGCACTTCTGAGAGAGGCTGTAGTTGTGGCAGGGATATCCTTTTCGATTAACTGCTCATCATCCAAGCCCAAATCTTCAAGAGTCTCGTACTGACCTGAACACTGCAGTCAAGCAGGGTACCACTGCCGAAGACTTCGGTCGTCATTCCAATTCTCCCACATTCAATTGACAAATCGCGGTCGACGGGCGCGTCAATGTGTTGGTGGTGATGGACAGACTATGTAACATCCTCTCCCTTTCGGAGGGATTCTATATTATATTATAGTTTCCAAAGCCTTATGAAGATATGTAGAGTAAAGATGGTGTCACTCATGAAGGAAAAATGGCACCCGTCGCATTCAAGCCTTGGTATATGTGCGGGTGGAGATTAAACATGTGTCATATGTTATTGAGGAGAGATTTTCTATCTAACAGCCCTATTCCAAGGGAAGGAATATGGAAATATGGCTCTCAAATGACATGCCAAATGCTGATAGGGTTGATACCCCTGAATAACGCAACGATGGGGATACGGGCGGCTTTTCCGAAGGATTTGGGGGAAGGACAGAAGATGTCTCGGGAAGGCGAACCGTGTGAACCGGCTGCATCGCCTGGTGGTCCTTGCGATCGCTCTATCCCGAATGTCCTCATCACTCCTCATTCAGTGGAAATCTCGGTCGCAATCGAACCGACTCGACATATCTCCACCGGTAGGAGTCGCTCGTATCCGCTGTCCCAGTCGAGTAATGTTTTCCCGTGGGAAAACAAGGGATGATTGATGCCAATACGGTCAGGGCCGGGAACCTCGCCGACGCGTACCCTCACTCCCCCCGCATGAGGGGATGGAGGGAAAGTGATTGCGACAGAGTGAGGGGAACATCCCTGCTCTTCCTGGCCTATATAGAAGAGTAGAAATGGCAGAGAAGGTAGTCATTGGCATCCCGATCCTCTACCAGTTCAATCATCCATCTTCCTCACGGTCGCATACCCTTCAGAACCCATACATCCAACATGTCTCCCTCGCTTCACCCTCTTCTCGACAACGGCATCACCAAGGGGGACCCCAACTTCCCCGGGGGTAACCTCTACTGCAAATGCTCCTCCGACAATGTCGTTGTTAAGCTGGCCAGCAACGTCGCTCACAACCACGCCTGCGGCTGCTCCAAGTGCTGGAAGCCCGCCGGTTCGCTGTTCTCCATCGTCGGAGTTGTTCCCCGCGACGCCGTCTCCGTTACCGAACACGCAGAAAAGTTGTCCATCGTTGACGCGTCCGCCGCCATTCAGAGATATGCCTGCAAGGGCTGCGGGGTGCACATGTTCGGTCGCATCGAGAAGGACCACCCCTTCAAGGGCCTAGACTTTGTGCACGCCGAGCTGTCCGATCAGAAGGGCTGGCAGGAGCCTCAGTTCGCGGGATTTGTCTCCTCCATCATCGAGCAGGG